TCTGCCTGCCTGCTTTGCCTGATTTTGGGTAAAAGTTGCTCTTTTTTTTATAAAAAATTCAATATTTATATAAATAAGACATAAGACATAAGACATAAGAATTTATTTCTCATTACACTCGCAAGCGGGTGCAACGAAATGAGGTGCTCTTCCACAAAGTAAAAACTGGACAAACACCACTAAAAAGAAAAAAATTAAACTAAACACAACCAACCATACAATCATCTCTATGCAATTTAAAAATGTAAATACCCCATTACTCTCAGCCATTTAATTCCACAAAAATCTTATGACCCTGCATTCAAACTCAAAACTGCACTTGGATAAAAACTGTTCTTAAATCTGGTCGTCCTTGTTCTTAATACCCTAAATCTCCTTCTCGATGGTAATAGTTCAAAGAGCTGATGTCCCGGATGAGAGGAGTCATTCAATATATTAAGTATCTTCCTCTTACGTCTATTCCTATACAGTTCTTCCAAAGAGGGGAGTGAGCAGCCAATGATGTTTTGGGCCGTCTTGATCACCCTCTGAATTGCCTTTTTCTCTGCCACTGTGCAGCTCGAGAACCATACACAGAGACAGTAGGATAATATACTCTCAATTGAACTCCGATAGAAGATAGTCAGTAGACTCTCAGCCAGTTGTTGTTTCCTAAGAATCCTTAGTAAATACAACCGTTGTTGTGCCTTCTTAATTAAAGCAGCGGTGTTTGCACTCCAGGTCAGGTTATTTGTAATGATGGTCCCGAGAAACTTACATTCAACCACCTGTTCCACACGAACTCCTTCTATATACAGTGGCTGAATGTCTGCTCTTTTTTTCCTATAGTCCACTATAACCTCCTTGGTCTTCTTAATATTAAATAGAAGATTATTATTTTTGCACCAGCGGGATAGCTGTAATACCTCATCCCGATATGCAGACTCATCATCCCCAGAAATAAGTCCTACAAGCGTAGTATCGTCTGCAAATTTCATTATCCTATTGTTGGGATGTTTATTTGTGCAGTCAGATGAATAGATGGAGAACAGTAGTGGACTAAGGACACAACCTTGTGGAGTGCCAATGCTAAGTGTCTTGACAGTAGAAATATAATCATTCAGTTTAACTCTTTGTGGACGATTTGTTAAAAAGTCCAATATCCATAAACAAATAGAATCTGGAAAATCTAGATCTTTGAGCTTGGCTATTAATCTGTGCGGTATGATGGTATTGAAAGCAGAACTAAAATCTGCGAACAACATTCTTACATAATTCCCCGGTGTTTCCAAATGGGATAAGGCCATGTGAAGCACAGTAATAATTGCATCCTCGGTTGATCTATTTTCTTTGTAAGCAAACTGAAGCCCATCAAAGGAATCGGGAAGGCAGGAGATAATATAATTTCGAACTAGCTGCTCAAAGCACTTCATTAAGATGGAAGTTAGTGCCACCGGCCTATAGTCGCTTGGACCATTTGTGGGCAACTTTTTAGGCAGTGGAACGATGGTGGAAGCCTTGAGACAAACAGGAACTACACATTGTGTCAAGGATCGATTAAAAATTTCGGTCCATACCCCAGCTAACTGATCAGCACAGTCTTTTACCACCCGCCATTACACACAAGCCATTCCCAGCCAGTCACATGACCACCAAGCCACACCCACAAATTAGACTATGACCACAGAACTGGTTAGTGGTCCCTGGGATTTAAAATTATGAGTTTGGTGGTCCCTGAGATCCAAAAGGTTGGTGACCCCTGCTCTATAACATATCAGAAAAGAAGAAGTCACATTGTATTTAGATTTGCTTTAAAAAAAAGATTGTATATAGAGGATGCAGGGGAAAATGGAGCATCTTAATGATTTAACCCAAAGCTCTACTGTGGCTGAGAGGCAATATATAAATTAATAGCTTGGGTTAGAAAAAATGCTCAGATGATCCAGTTGAGTAAGTTAGGAATTTCTAAATAGTAGCTCAGGTAAGTAGGATCTTTAAGTAATACAAAAGTATTTCAACTTCTAAAGTTTGGTTGCATATGAAAGAAGGAGTATGGCTCCTCACTGCCCTCAATCCAGAACACATAATTTACAGACTGAGAATTAAGTGCCATTCCTTACAAACATGGTGGCAATCCAATGAACCCTTTCAAAATTTCCAATAAATTGTAATTACTGCAGCTTAAGGAAGGTAAAATTATATTCTGGGGAGCATTACATTAAATATGATCAATATAATTAATTACATTTATAATTACATGAATCATACCTTTTCCCCTGCTCTGCCAATTTTGGGAGAGAATATGACCCCTATATGCTACCAAAAATATTTTGATCTGCCCAAGTTTAAGGTTACTATTTTTAATATGATTTTTTAATGTTTCACATTAAAAGTTTTTGTAAACCAGACTTCTAAAATTTGTTAGTATTATCATAATTTCCAATGGGCATAAAGCAGGGGTGGGCAATTAATTTCTGTCGGGGGCCACATGGAAAATCAGATCTGCATTCGAGGGCCGAACCAATTTTATAAAAGGCCATTATAAAGGGCCCATTATAAAATGCAGCAAATTATATATAAGAATATTTAT